ATGACATTTAAAAGATGCAGTATTAAAGTCCTCCATTACAAGAATAAAGATAACTATTTTGTCAGCAGCAAACACATTTATCTTGATCTGGGAGAAACAACTGATAGTTCCTCTTACCTGAGGGAATTCTAAACCTGGAGCTAATCCATGCACCTACTACAGAATTTCGCAAACATTCATCAACACTTAGGTTACTGGTTTTGGAGCAAACACATTACCAAATATGAGTTTCTTTCACAGTAGCAAACATTATAATCAGAACAGACACTCTTTAATCACAGATTGCTTTCTGAACACATTTGCCAGTCTCATTTCAAACTGTTTGAGCACCTGAGCTTTCATTACTCTTCTCTGGAAAGTATTCACTATCCTAAATGCAGTCAGCTATGCTGAGTAACTTTGCTCTGATAGGCATTGTTCATTTTCTCCTTTTTTCCACTCATCCTTTGGAGGATATGAACATATTTTTCTCCCTGTGTGCTTAAAATCCTTCCACAAAAATCAGCTGCTACATCTTCTTGTCATAATCTTGTTTATATTCAAATAGGCACCAGTGTTGCTATGCCCCATCAAGAGACTTGGTCAATAGTTCCAAAAACACAAAAGTCACAAGGGAAAATGATGGAGAATTACATTCCCAGTAAAATGGTATTTAAAATCCCTTGGTTGGCTTGCAGACTACGATACTTTCATTTTGAAATACTGGTTTATTTCAAATGGAATTTTATTCAAACAGAATGAAAGCATAGCTTCTGAGGCAAGAGCTGCAGCCTTGGAACAGAGGGGGAGTGATCCCATACTTAACATCACCACTCAGAGCTGTGATCACACTCTGTTTTGCTACAAACACACTGTGCAGCCTTAGTCAAGTTGCTTAGGGGTTTTTTGTGGCTTAATCCCCCATCTTTGAGATAACTATGACTTAGACTCCCTATCTCACAGGCACACAGTGAGGATGAATGCATTAAAAAAAGAATTAATATATCACAATATAGTGATAGGAGTTCAATACCCTGCATACAGAGTAATTTATCTTTTTGTCTCCTGGATCAAGTACAGTTTCTAGGTGTGTGCAACAATACAAACCTAATCTATTAATATATAAGGAAACCAGGCAATCTTCATCCCTGCATTCCTGCATATGCAACCATGAACAGGAACACAAACTTCTATGTATGGAGGGGAAATGCTGGGGTAGGAAAGAACAGATTTTTTTCTTTAATTATAATGGGCTTAAGACAAGGACAGGAACCACAAGCTAGACACAAAGAAATCTGTTTGTTCCAACAGCACAAACAAGAAACACAACAAAAATAAAAAACTGTACAACAAATTCATATATTAAGTAGATATATAAGTATTTAGACACAATTGAAAAAAGATACTCCTTACTGCTATCTTGTGTAAGGAATACACTGTAATTTACTAGTATATGAATTATATACTGTTCCCAGGGTGAAACCTCTGTATTTCTTGCTCCAAACTACTCTGCCTATAAAATAGCTTTATTAGAGTTTAGCAATGTTAAGGAAAAAAGTAAAGGTAATGTCTACAGCTCCCATTAAAAACCAGATCATACATTTTACAGTGATTATAGTTTAATATACTATAAAAATGAGTTTTCACCAAATATTCAAAATTATAGATTTATTCAAATTCCCAGCAAAAAATCAAACTTGTGAATTGTGCAGATTATATAGCCAATAAAATATTTATTGTTGCACAATGTATATTGTTAACTGTGTTGACTACTTTTCACCAAGGTGCCAGAGAAATGAAAAATTAACCAGTGCAGAATATAAAATACAGGGGGGGTTGAGTCCTAGAGCTAGTTCATGAGCATACAAAACAGATTGTATTCAGAGCTGTAATATAGAAATTCTTCAGTGAAGAAGACACCAGAGCTGAATACCTGACAGCAGAACAAAACAGAGAACAGCATTAAAGCCTTGTAGTTGAGGTGCTGCATGCAAATGCAGGAAGAGCTGAATTAATAATGTTGAAGGTCTAGCTAACGTAGACAGTGGCTGTGTCAATGAATGTTTTAATGACATCTTACTAGTTTTAAGGACTAAGAAGTGAATACATGCAGCCTGATGGAGTTCTGGAAGTACAGTGAACATGTGGTTTAAAAATCTCTTTGGGTTTACAAAAACAAGTAAATATTTGAATATCCTCCTTCTCTGCAACTTCATAAACTGCTCTATAAAAATCACACATGTGGTTTGAGGTGCATATTCTTCTTTTCAGCATTAACCATAATCACTACCAATGAATCTCTTACTGTCTACCATTTATTCTTTTACAAAATTTACATGAAAATTCATTTACATGTCATCTACAGGGCACCGAATGTTGATCACGCTATGAAAGGAAAAACTGAATCAAACCCAACAATTTTAAAGTATCCTCTGGATATTTTGAACCTTAATGGTGTGACTTCAAATGTACCTTTTTGTCCTCTTGATTTTGAGATGACACACACAACTTCCTGATGGAGGACAAGGATAAGAGGTAGGCTGGCAGCACTAGAGTAGGACTCAGGCTGTTGCTCCAGCCATGCTGCACAGAAAGGCATTTCTAACCTGACCTGGCCATTCACAAATTACAGTGGATAATAAAACAAATACACAAATATTCTAGAGTGAGGACTTTCATCCTTGCCCTTGGCCTCTCTATTTCAGCTTTTCCTCCTCCAGACCACACCAAGTGCGGAAGTGCGACTGCACACTCAGAGTCATCATGTCCCAGCCTGACAAAGTGCTGACAACACAGCATTTAAGCTCAACCTTATTCTGTAGCTGTGGCCCAGCTGGACCCACATTCCTGCCCATCCTCTTCCACCAGAGCAGATTCCTCAAGCTGAGGGAGTAGGGACAACCCCTCCTCTCTGGGAGAAAGCCCAGGCTGCTGGAACATCAAAAATATATTCTGCCTCATTCTCCACAGCCCTCCTCATCCTCAAAGCACCATGGTGCTGATAACTGGCCAGGAAAAGCAGCTGCCTCTTAGGGTTCAGAATTTAAAGACAACTGTCTTTCTCCTCTCACCCCAACTGGTCATACTGCATGATATTGAATGACATTGAAGGCAATGTATTTGACAATGAAAAACTTTGCTGAATATTTCAGGATTAGCTATCCTAAAGAAACTTTGCTGAATATTTCAGAAAAGAAATAGGCTACCCTAGCTTATGTTAAAAGAAAAATTATACTACGACATTTCAGAAAGCCCTTGGAGACATGTGCTTGCTTTCTCAGGCCAGGCACACAGCAGCCACAGGTCCTGCTTTATGAAGAGGAGGAAAAATCAGCTGAAATTAATTGAAAAATGCAGGTTAGACGTTCTCTTAGGATCTTTCAGCTCCTGTATTTCTAATTGCTTGCTCTGCCAGCACGTGACACCTGCACATTTTTAAAATCTTTTTGATTTACCCTGAAGCAGCTGGATTGTGCCATCAGACAGCATGAACTCGGTGAGAAACACTGCTATTGTCTGCATACTCCTGGTGTGCGGGGCTGGAGAGGGGAGCATGTGTATGCTTGGAGGAGAGAAAAACAATTCCAACACCTTTCTGCTTAGACAGACTACACCATGGACCTACACAACATCAGGGCCAGATCCAAAAATCTGGGTGTCTAGAGCTAGGTTCCTAAAATTAATGCTTGAGATGCCTAAAAAACAATCTTTTGTGAAATTTAAACTATGAAGAAGCTCTTTTGAGACCAGTCAAAGCTTCAGTATTTCTGAATCCACTTTGGTACCTAAGTCCACGTTCCCATTTTAAGAAATCCTGGACTAGAACCTGTCCCACCTTGATATTTAAAAGCACTACAGAACAGAAAAAGCTGAACAGGTCTGGACAACCTGCACAGATGGGCAGGCAGCAGCCAGGCAGAGCAGTCATTCCACCCCGCTTACTGCTGTGGAAGGAACCTCACTGCTGAGGATAAAGACAGGCAAGGCACAGAAAATTTGCAGCTTTTTACACACACTAAGCAAAAGGATTAAAAATACCATACAGAACAAAGATTCACAATAGATCAGCCACACAACTCTGTAGAAGAACAAAGGTTTCATAAAAGAATGAATGAAAATAAACCACTTCCTGAGACTATAGGCAGCCCTAGAGACTTTTAAGTATTAGTCAGACCAAAGGCTGCCAGATGCTTCCAGAGTCCTGACTGCTCACTGGGGAGCTCAGGCCTTTCCAATGGGGCGAGGTAGGTCAGCTGGAGACTAAGGGTACACAGCTCCCCAGAGAAAGACTTTTTTGTTATGTTTGGGTTTAAGTGTGTTTCCTTCACAAGACATGGTCTGAGGCTCCATTATGTTTTCTACTTTGAGATTTTATTATGAGGAAAATAGTGACGCTTTTTCTTTCTTTTGACTACTTCCCTTGTTTGAAGAGTTTTACTAAAACCTGATGTCTAGATAAGAGTGGCCAGTTCATGTTAACAAACAACACTCTGCAAGTTCTGTCTTCAACAAACTAATTCAGGCTATCCAGCCAGAAGAGCTTTCATTCCCATACCCCATAAATTCTTTCTTTTGCCCCACTCATTTCCCAAAGTAAATTAAACTAACAGCTAAATTATTCTTTTTTTTCACCATTCCTCTAGATTTTTCATAGTTTAGCTTTTGCAATCTGAAGATTAAAGCTTATTTCCCATTTCCATACAAAAGTCGAGTAAGGCAGAGCTCTTATGCAATAGATAGACACAATAGACAATGTACAATAAATGCCTTTTTTGTGCCTTCTTTACCTCCAGCACAGTTCTTTCCCAGCCACAAGAAGTTCTAAGCAGGCATCACCTGCTCATCCCCATGACACTCCTGCAGCCAAGGCAGCTGAGCTGCTCACAGTAAGAAGTGCTTTGGGAACATTATACAATTTTACTTGTCTATGTTTTTCAGTCTCTCATAAAGTGATAACAGACAAAAGTTCCCCAAATAATAAATAACCAAAACAACATTTGAAGTGAAATTCTCATACTTACTTAGGACTGCTTGCTTGAAGCAACAGCAATGGTTGTGTGGGCAATGCACAGACTCAAGAATTGGATGTGATATGCAACCAGAAAAAGAGTTCACTTTTTGACCATCTATTCTCCAGGGAACACTAGCAAGAGATGACAGAGATCTATGGAAAAGAGAAGTTCATTATTTTAAAGCCTAAGCAAAAATAATTAGAAGCATGTAACAAAATACAAAGCCAGAAGGTAAGGCTGCCTTTCATTAGGAAAAGGCCCATCACTGCAAAAACATCCCTTATCTTCATGGGAATGCAGCCACAAAGCACTCCGGTGACTTCCGTGTTGGAGGCACTGCTACCAGTGTATTTCCCTATGAAACAACAACAGTTTATTCCCTATGATTTACTCAATTCAGGAAAAATGACTACTTTCTTCATTGCTCCATTTTTTCTTTAAAGTGATATAAACCTTCACAGATCAGTGAGAAATTTAGTTAAAATATTATATAAGGCATTCATCTTGATGCCTAGAGAGGCCACCTGGAACAGAAGCTAGACAGAGCTAAAGGAATAAAGTAGGTGTTTATTAAAAGGCCTTCAAAGGATACACCTTGGGCAGTAAAAGAGCCTGGCCGTGGCTCTACAGAAGATGGACCCAACATGGACCACAAGTTTTTGCACCTTTATGAGTTTTGGTCCATTTACATACTGGGGTTAATTGTCCAATTACAGCTCCAGGTTTTGCAGTCCCATCCCCCCAGATGGCTCTCCTCAATTCACCATGGTTTGCACTTTTTGGGCCTGAAGCTCCAACACTGTCCTTAGATGTCAGGCTGGAAAAGGATTGTTTTGTCTGACTAAACTGTGAAGAGAACTTGCTGACACTTCATATGAAGTTCAGAGTTACACATTAAGGCAGTATAGAATCTGAAAAATATGAAAGCTAAAACTTAAGGCATCAGTCTTTGAGGAAGCCACTGTCTGGCCTCATGGAAGAACTGAGTGAAAAACAATGAAAACACAAGCCTGCCAGACTTGCACACAGCTTCCTTTAAAGATCTATCTAAATAAGAATCTACTTTCAATTACTATGAAATATTTCAGAATTGCTTGTTCAAAAGCAATTATTTTTAATTTTATTAAATAATGACAGTACAATAACCTGAATAATTCTTACCCTTTTAAGTTTATCTGATGAGATGGCAATATATAATACACACTGAAGGACCTCAACTATTGGCTTTATAAGCTCTTGTTCTTTAGTTAATCCCAGGACCTCAGTTCAGGATACCATAGTCTTCATTCACTCACTTTAATTCTATGCCATATGAAGACAACATAACTCTTAGGTGAGTTTTCATGGTGAATTGCAACGTGATTGATATATTTAAGGTCTTATCGAGCTAGAAAAGATTTTCACAGTGATATGTGTTAACATACAAAATTCACTCATTTTTCTAGAAAGGGATGGTGATACATATAAACATATACACATATATACACAGACAAACATATATACACATCTATAAATTTATATACTTCTATATAAAAAAAAATATTAAAGTAAGAACTCCATTAAGGGCAATGATTCATTTACACCTCAAGAGTCTAACAAACATTCTACCAGGGTGTCCCATCCATGCTGAGAACAGGGCACAAAATAAAAACAAGGGATGATCAATTTAACAACACTGAAGAATGACTTAACAGAAGACAGATGATTCTCTTTTTTTTTGCTGAAAGATACGTTGCTTCTCTTTTCATACCTCTGATTCAAAAGAGATGACTTCAGTTATCTAGTTAAACATAGAAGAGAAAAAAATGTCACATTGTTGTCAGAGGTAGCTATGGTTTAGATACAAAATACCGAACCTGATACAACTAGATGATAATACCCTAATAGGGTAAATTACTACAATGAGGAATTTTCCTGCAATTTAGAGAAGCTCTGTTGCTTCTTACTAAATTTTCCATGGAACATATATATGAATATATACAAATGCATATGTTGACACCATCTGAAGTGAGCAGTTCCAACCCCTTTCCCTACAGCCTCCTCCACACCAGATGACATGAGTTCCTTCTCCCTGTGACGTGTCCTTGTGCCTTCGCTTTTCCCCAGGGCACGCGTCACTTCCCAGCCTCACTGTGGAAGTGGAGGCTCAGCACACAGGTCCAAGGACAGCTTCCCCCAGTTTGGGGTGGGTGCTGCTGGCCACGCCATGGTGCCAGGCTGCACCATCCGGGGCCAGCAGCACTCATGCACTTGCTTGGTTTTTCTGCCACTCTACAGGCACATGCAGCAAAGTTTCAGACTGGGTGACCTGATACTTGTAGCTTCTTGTTAATAATCAAATAAAAATTTAGTGTATGGGACTAAATAAACACATATGTGCTCAGTGCAGATCCTGATCACACACTACACACTCTGATACCAAATGGAAAGGAACCACAGAATCACAGAATCTCTAGGTTGGAAAGGACCTTTAAGATCGAGTCCAACCCATGTTCTAACACCTCAGCTAGGTCATGGCACCAAGTGCCACATCCAGTCTTTTTTTAAACACATTTAGGGATGGTGACTCCACCACCTCCCTGGGCAGATGATTCCAGTATTTGACCACTCTTTCTGTGAAAAACTTCCTCCTTAAGTCTAGCCTGTATCTCCCTTGGCGCAGCTTGAGACTCTGTTCTCTTGTTGTTGCCCGGAAAAAGAGACCGACCCCCAGCTCACCACAGCCACCCTTCAGGAAGTTGAAGAGAGTGATAAGGTCACCTCTGAGACCATTTACCTGTGGTTCTAAGACCAAGTACTGCCATTGCCTAGTACAGTTGAATGTAACTGTTCTGAGACACAAGACAGATGGGATAGGAAGATGTGAAGTACTACAAATAAAATCTAAAACTGAACTTTTAAATATTCATTCTGAACTATAAAGAGAGCTGTGGCTTTTGTGTGCTACAGATGGCTTGGAAATGCAGTGCAAACAAAGGACCAATTTCTGAATACTCATAGCTGCTCTACTATAATAGCTGGAGGCCCAAAACTCCAGGGGTTTGAGATGATTCAACTAGATCCTCTTACCTGCCAAATTTCATCAAAGCAACATTGCTTTTAACATCTTATAAGGGATGAAAGAAATATGAATAGTGTGGGGTTTTTTAATGAAAGATGGACTGCTTAAGCGCGAACAAAAAATTACAATATGAATGGAATGTGCAAGGTAAAGGGAAAACCATCCTTTTATTATACATACTTAAAGCATCTTATAAGATGAAATCTGTACTTTTTATAGATTGAAAGATTAAATATAAATAGTTCCTAGATTTAGATAAATGAAGGAAACAAAACCAAAAATAAGCATAATAAAAATCCCTGCCAGTCATAATCAATGAGAAACTGCTGACTGATTGCCAAGTATGGCCTTATGTTTAAACCTAGGAAAGACACGTGTTTCTTTGTAAGGTACTGGGGCATGACCTCATCAATCAGAGATTATTCTCTGCATAATAGTTCATGGAAAGAAACCACTAATGCCAGCTCCTCATCTGCCTTCCAGACAGAGGCCAGCTGACATGAATACCACTGGAAGGGGACCCAGCCCAAGCAGCACTGCTGCCAAGACCATACACTGCCGCATGGATGTAGCAGTACATTAGCACTTCCTGATGCTATTAGCTACTAGCAAAGATTATAAAATCTTTGGCTCTAGAGAGGGGATACCCTCACACCTTTTACATGTGTTTGAGCTCCTATAAGAATGGAACTGGACAACTAAATCCAAAATAAAAATGGAGTCTCTGTGGGGGAGCAGAGAACACCCAAGAGGCAGAGAGGATCCCTGAACTGCCAACAGTCCTCCAAACAGAGAAACCACCACAGAAACAAACACGCAACACTGAATCCCAGCTAGAAGCCAGGTTTATGGGTAATTATGAAGTGCCACTGCCAGCTGAAGGGAGAGAAAGTGCAGGAATAAGGGAAAAGGCATGAAGGTCTTGATAAAAATGTAACCATCCTTTAATGACAGTGAGAGCCAAGAGACAGTTGCAGTCTGATACCAAATGATGGATGAAAGATGACAAGTGGGTTATATTTTCTGTGAAATCAAGTGAATTAGCCAGGAGGGACGGGCAGAGGGAGGCAGCCTGGACAGCAAGAGCTGTTGGGGAAGGGATGGTTCAACTACTGCTGCTTTGCCAAGCTTAGAGGAAAGGGTTCTGTGAAAAATCAAGTTAAGATGATGGGAGTTGGGTTACAGAATTTAACTGCTTCTAGAAAAATCAGGAAAAGTAGCAGCTTATGGCAGGGAACCAGCCTGCTGGTTTGGGGAACAGCCCAGGTGACAGGTGTGAACTGAAAATGTGAAACCTTGCTGCAGAGACACAGGAGCCTTTACTGCTGGCAGAAGGAGAGGAAGGAGGAATTGGCAAAGCTGGAGGAAGCAGGCCAGAGGACCAGGGCCTGCCTTTCGACCATGTTTGTCTGATGCTGGATCTGCATCCATCAGAGCACAAGCAGGGACTGCAGTCTGACAGTGTGGCTTGGCTTCTGTTCACAACCAAGACAAAAAAGTGGCAGATGAACTGAGGGGAAAGGGCAGGATCCTCTGGCAGAAAATATAGCTTTTCCAATGACCTTGCTGTCCTTTTGAGAGTAACTGCTTTCCAGGACAGATTGTCCCAACAGGGCACTTAAATGCCTTCAGCACAGTACAGTACTTAGAGATAAAACTGAACAACTTTTCATGAAATCTGCCTCCAATAAAAACATCTTTATTGCCCTGGGCTAATGTGTAAGTTAGTGAGGGATTATAGTTCAGTTTCTATAGCCATTTCATGTAATAGGGGAAAAAAAATCCATAGGGACCTCATCTGTTGGTCCTCTAAAATACAAAAAGAAGTGTTACGCTGCATTTAATCATGGTAATAGGCTATCAGCTATTTTCCTAAACCTTCATACTCACTGCTGTCATTCTAGGCAGAGCCAATCAACCTGACTTAATCATCTTCTTGTGACTTGCTCCTCTGTGCCCCTTCCTTTTGAAAATACATAAATTCTAATTATTTTTTAATCCTTTACTAAAACACTGGCAAAATGAGTGCTCCCCTTCCAGCATACAGATGTGGAAGTTTACAGGCACAGGGGCTGCAGTACTCCAGGGCCT